ATCCCACCAGTTGTTTTGTCACAGGCAGATGGTATTTGTGGCTAAAGTTCCAATGAATTATCTGAGCAAAGGTGTTATGCCTCTGCTTGTATTCTGTGCGCAATCTTCTTGCAGCAGCTGAGGATGTGACCTATTGTTTCATCTGCTTCCTTGCAATCTACACTTGGGATCTGTTGTTGACTTTTCAATTCTGGCTTTGATGGTATTTGTTCTAATTGCCTGTTCTTCGGCTGCAAGAATCAGGACCTCGGTCTCCTTTTCCAAAGTCCCATTTGTGAGCCACATCCATGTTTTTTCCTTGTCAATTTTGCTATCAATTTTTCCCAGGAACTGTCCATGGCGAGCCTCCCTACACCAGTTTTCTCTTCTGCTCTACATTGTATTTTTACGGTATTCACTCTTTGTCTTTTGCACTTGAAGCAGTTTACTACTATTTACTTCCTTCAATGTTGGTTCTTGACTGCCTTTCACATAATCTGCCAGTGCATGTTTCTCTTCTTCTACCATTTGTTTCGCTTACAGAAGCCCTCCGCCTCCTGATTTTCTGGGCAGGTAAAGTCTGTTGACATCATTGCGTGGGTATAATGAGTAGTGGATTGTCATCAGTTTTCTTGTTTTTCTGTCCAAACCATCCAGCTCTGCTTGTGTCCAGTTCAAAATTCCAGCAGTGTATCTGATGACAGGGATGGCTAAGGTGTTGATAGCCTTGATCATATTTCTGCCATTTAATTTGCTCTTCAAAACCTTTCTGACTCTTTCCACATATTCTTTGCTGACCACATTTTTCACTTGCCCATGCTTGATATTGTCCAACTGTAGTATGCCCAGATATTTATAGACTTCAGGCTGATTGCATTATTATTATTATTATTATTTATTTTATTTTTTACTGACACAAAAACACAGGATGTCACAGCAAACAAGACATATATACTGGATTTCATATCACAAAATCACAAGTCAAACACTTCCCAAGCATCTAGGACTGTGTGATGTATTTTCGAATTATGCGCTCAGATCCAAGTAAGGTGGCCTTTTGCAGTTGATAGATTGTGATTTTGTTAATGTTTATTGCTTCTAAATGCCGGCTGAGATCTTTGGTGCGGCACCCAGTGTGCCAATGACCACTGGGACCACCTGTACTGGTTTATGCCAGAGCCTTTGCAGTTCAATTTTGAGGTCCTGGTAACAGCTGAATTTTTCCTGTTGTTTTCCATCAATTCGACTGTCACCTGGTATGGTGACATCAATAATCCAAACTTTTTTTCTTTTCCACAATCGTGATGTCTGGCATATTGTGTTCTAAAACTTTGTTTGTCTGGATCCAAAAGTCCCACAGTATTTTTGCATGTTATTTCCACACTACCTTTGATCCCAACAGTTCATTACTACTGGCAGCTGGTATTTGTGACAGAAGTTCCAATGAATCATTTGGGCCACAGAGTTGTGCCTCTGTTTGTAGTCTGTGCAATTTTCTTGCAGTAGCTGAGATGATCAATGGTTTCATCAGCTTTCTTGCATAGTCCTCATTTTGGGTCATCAGCTGATTTTTCAATCCTGGCCTTTATTGCATCTGTTCTGATGGCTTGCTCCTGGTACTACTACTACTACTACTACTACTATTATTTGTAACACAACAAGGTGAGTCCACAGTAGACAAGATCACTCTGCTGGCTGTTGTATTGGACAAATCTCCATAAGGCTCGGAGCTTCCAGACCCAGCTATCATACTATTACCACAAAATT